GAAATCCTATGGAGAGATTGCCTTTGTCATTTGGGCCAAATCCTTTACTTTTCCGTTGTCTTCATTAGCCTTATTTCTGATAACACTGATGTTTATGTACAAGACATTGATATTCATTGCCCTTTCTTTTTTAACAGGAATCTTCCAGGAGAGAAAAAAAGACAGGTTGCAGAGGAAGCAACGTATGTCTTATTTTCAGTATTTTCGGCAGTACGCCAGTGGGAGCCCATGAATCTGCCTGTTCTCTGATGTGGTCTTGTGAGTGAGTGTGATAGCACTAGTGAGAGACTGTTATTGTGGTAGAGAGAGTTGTTCTTTCTCTTCGGTTTGTTTGATCTAAAGCGTATTCAGAATGCAGCAGTAAAGCTTGAGTGGCAGCCAAAGGATAGTTGGCAGAGAAAGTGGATGGGCAGAAAGTAAGAAAGTGGAGGTTGTTGTGGTGGAAAATGTAAGATATTAGGAAGTAATAGAGAGCAAAAGAATTGGCGGATACACTTGATGCTGGAGGGGTAAAAGTGGATAGATAGAATGAGGAGTGAGGGAAGGGTAACAAGTTAGGAGTGGAGAAATAGTGGTTACCAAATGTAGGGAGGAAGGGAAGAATGGAGGGATGGAATGAATGAAGGGAAAGAAATCACACCGTAGGAGTATTAAGTGGGAAGGAAATGAGGGTTATTATTGCTGGCAATGAGTGGAAAAGTATTTGTCATGAATGGAAAGGTAAAGAGAGGTCAAGGGAAGACAGAATGAAGGAAAGTGATGTGTAGAAGGATGAACTTCCTACTAGTGTTCGTGTCCTACACTTCCTTCACTAGTGCTTCTTGTTATATCCCTGAGTTACTCCATGTTTCTCCTCTCTCCCATCTTCCTCTCGTGTTTCTTCCTGGTTCTTATCTACTTTGTCATTGTTCCTTCCTCATGTTATGTCGTTTTGAGGGTAAACTGACGTGTGTGTGTGTGTGTGTGTGTGTGTGTGTGTGTGTGTGTGTATACTCACCTATTTGTACTCACCTATTTGGGTGGTTGCAGGGGTCGAGTCCTAGCTCTGGCCCCGCCTCTTCACCGGTTGCTATAGGCCTCTCCCCTCCCCCTCCATGAGCTTTATAAAACCCTCGTCTTAAACTGTGTATGGTTCCTGCCTCCACTACGTCATTTTCTAGGCTATTCCACTGCCTTAAAACTCTATGACTGAAGAAATATTTCCTACTATCTCTCTGACTCATTTGTGTCTTCAACTTCCAATTGTGGCCTTTTGTTTCTGTGCCCCCTCCCTGGAACACCCGTCCTTGTCCCCCTTGTCTATTTCCACGCAGATTTTTTATGTCTTTTATCATGTCTCCCCTGACCCTCCTGTCCTCCAGTGTCCGTCGGCCGATTTCCCTTAATCTTTCTTCATAGGACATTCCCCTTAGCTCTGGAACAAACCCTTGTTGCAAACTTTGTACTTTCTCTAGTTTCTTGACGTGCTTTATAAAGTGCGGGTTCCAAAAGGTGCTGCATACTCCAGTATGGGCCTGACATACACGGGTACAGTGTCTTGAATGATTTTTTTACTAAGGTATCGGAATGCTGTTCTCAGGTTTGCCAGGCGCCCATATGCTGCAGCAGTTATCTGATTGATGTGTGCTTCCGGAGACATGCTCGGTGTTATACTCACCCCAAGATCTTTCCCCTTGTGAGGTTTGCAGTCTTTGGCCACCTAGCTATACTCTGTCTGTGGTCTTCTGTGCCTTCCCCTTCTTCATGACTTTGCATTTGGCAGGATTAAATTCGAGAAGCCATTTGCTGGCCCGGGTGTCCGTCTGTCAGGTCTCTTTGAAGTCCTGCCTGGTCCTCATCAGATTTAATTCTCCTCATTAACTTCACATCATCTGCAAACAGGGACACTTCTGAGTCTAACCCTTCCGTCATGTCGTTCACATATACCAAAAATAGCACTGGTCCTAGGACCGACCCCTGTGGGACCCCGCTCGTACAGGTGCCCACTGTGATACATCATTAGTACCATGACTCGTTGTTGCCTCCTGTCAGGTATTCTCTGATCCATTGCAGTGCCTTCTGTTATAAAGCGCTGATGCTCTGTTCTGCACTAAACTCTTGTGAGGAACTGTGTCAAAGGCCTTCTTGCGTCCAAGAAGATGCAATCAACCCACCCCTTCTCTCCTTGTCTTTCTTCTGTTATTTATCATAAAACTCCAGAAGGTTTGTGACACAGGATTTGCCTTCCGTGAATCCGTGCTGGTTGGCATTTATACTCCTGTTCCGTTCCAGGTGCTCCACCACTCTCCTCCTGATAATCTTCTCCATAATTTTGCATACTATACACGTCAATGACACAGGTCTATAGTTTAGTGCCTCTTTTCTGTCTCCTTTTTTGAAAATGGGAACTACATTTGCCGTCTTCCATACCTCAGGTAGTTGCCCCGTTCCCAGGGATGTGTTGAAGATTGTGTGTGTGTGTGTGTGTGTGTGTGTGAAAGAGAGAGAGAGAGAGAGAGAGAGAGAGAGAGAGAGAGAGAGAGAGATTGTTTGTAACTTGAATTAACTGCTATATTCTCGCCTCTTTCTTCTATCTTCAATCGGTGGAGAATATACAATATATTCCTCTTCTCATAGCTTCTCCATCCACCCGTGGGTCAGCACTGACCAGCTCCAGAAATTTAATTTGTCCAGTCTGCCTTTTTCTGTTTACTATGCACTTGTTGTGTTTATGATCTTCATTGAGTTCATCTCCCTGGACGCCATTTTTATTCTTGTTTATGTCATCCGTTAGTTTTCATTCTCTGTCATATTCTTATTATTTTAGCTGCTTTCTGTTTTTTGTTCTAACTCACTTATCTCGTCAATTTTGATCATATTTCTTTACACTTATCTATCCTGGTTTCTTTCCTGGTTCCTAAATTATTCCCTTCTCCCATGTATGTCGTGTACCCTTCTCCAATCTCTCAAACATTCCTTCTTCCCTGAGTGTTGCATATTCTTCTTTCTTCCCTATTCAATATTTTTCATTTTCACTTGGATTTTCAGGTAGCCAGTGGCACTCTGAGCAGGTGGAGTGCAAGCATACATTGTGACAACATTTCAGTCTGTGTAGTGGCAGCACTAAGAGGCTTCAGTTCCCCCATCATTTCCTTCAGCCTCTGAAAGTCCTGCCGTGATGAATATTACCAGTTATTCCACTTTTTCTTAAGTGTTAATCTCTATTTATACCTGATATAGACAGGTCAGTCAATGAATTAAATAGGAAATTTTCAAATAACTCGTAGAAAACTGAAAGTTCCTCGGAAGTGAATCAGTAAATGTTGTATCTTAAAAGAGATCATGTATCTGGAGATGGCATTTAATTATGGTTTCAGAGAGGAAAAATTCAGTGTTGAGCTTCATCAAGATTGACGACTTCTTGAAAGAAGTGACGACTTCTTGAAAGAAGTGACGACTTCTTGAAAGAAGTGACGACTTCTTGAGAGAAGTGACGACTTCTTGAAAGAAGTGACGACTTCTTGAAAGAAGTGACGACTTCTTGAAAAAAGTGACGACTTCTTGAAAGAAGTGACGACTTCTTGAGAGAAGTGACGACTATCAATTCTTCACTTGAATTTTCTTTTAAGTTTAAACCATACTGTGATACTTTCATAGATCTGTATGAGTTGTTGAGCATCGGTGTAATTTTGCCAGTTATTTCTACAGCATGTGAAGGTAGTTGTTACTACCTACGACTGACAACAACTTACTTGAGAAACAGGAACAGTGATAACAGAACAAGTGTTGATAAATTAGAAATATGTGCACATGTGTCTAATTTATCAACCTATCGGTTCTTGGAACCATTTGTCTACTGAACAAGTGTTGTTGCAGCTGTATCTATAAACTCAAAAAGAGCCAAGAGTCTAAACGTTGAATGAATTATCTTTAATTAAAACCACAACAACAGAAGAATCACACTGTTATAACTTTTCAATTACCCTGAGTCCCTCATTTGAAAGTAAAAATTATATATTGTTTTAACAATGTTTCAGTCCATCAATAAGACCCACAAGAACATCATTATTTTGATAGCTATAGATTTTGATGTAATTTAATGCAATTATTGTTCTTAGTCTTTGAAATGGACGGTTGTTTTTTGTTACTCTTATGTAAAGTGTGAATAAAAATTATTACTATAATCAAAAAAGAAACGTGTGAATTAAAGGATATTTTGAAAAGACGGATTTTTTTGTTGATCATTGGGATACAGACAGCAAAGACACTGCTCTGCAGTGCAAAGTTCTCTAACTCCTGTACCTCCATCCAACCAGATAGCCGCAAACACAGAAATTCTCGATCTGCTCCTGCCTCTGTCAACAGCGAAACGCTGACACAATAAAAACTTGCTCTTCGCCTGTTCTTTCTTTTAATTCTGTCGGCGGTTCGCCACTGTGTCCAGCAGTGAGAGGTTCGTTAGACTACGTAAACCCCTCATTGTAGCAGCGTTATTTCTGTTGTCTGGCATCGGGGACGCTTGCACACGAAACTTTCAATGTAGCACAGTGTTGTGTCTGCTGTCTGACATCAGAGCTGCTTGCACACAGCAGTTTTCTCCTCTCATCTGCACTCTTCACGTCCGTGTTGGGCTGGTGTTACTGCTTTGTTGCTCACTGTTTTATGGAGGCACCAGCCTCAACCTCTCCTTGCACAGGCGGACTATCGAGGGTCTGATAGCTTCCTCCAGGGTCTAAAACCTCTTTCCTTGATCTCGTCGTTGTTTTTTTCCGGAGTCTAAGAGTTTCTGAAGATCCAATAGCCTCTCCCCAGGGTCTGTTAACATCCACCCAGGATCCAATAGCCTCTACGCAAGGTCTGCTAGCCTCCACCCAGGATCCAATAGCCTCTCTCCAGGGTCTGCTAGCCTCCATCCAGGATCCAATAGTCTCTCCCCAGAATCTGCTAGCCTCCACCCAGGATCCAATAGCCTATCCCCAGGGTCTGAGAGCCTCATCCCCCGTGTTCCATGTCTCTCCCAGGGTCGTGTGGTGACCGAGGGAGGTCGTCGCTGGAGGCGCAACGATTGGGAACTACAGGTGTCGCAGATACGACGCGCTGACGCTGGCCTCTACACCTGCCTGGCCTCCAACACTGAGGGAGACGGACACTCCAACGCTCTGCTCCTGCACGTCGCACGTCAGTACACTCTCCTTGCTCTCCTCCTGCACGTCAGTACACTTAATCTACTGCACGTCTCACTTCAGTACACTTCAACTCCACGTTACACGTCAGTACACTTCTTTTACTGCACGTTACACGTCAGTACATTTATTTTACTGCACGTTACACGTCAGAACACTTATACTGCACGTTGCACGTCAGTACAATTGTTGTCGAGCACGTCGCACGTCACTACACTACTAGCTCTTCTATACCAGAAACTTTTAGAAAGCATCCCAGCTTGCTCACAATAGCTAAACGCTAAATTGTAAATATGTACCCAGATGTAAATATGTACCCAGATATATTCCTGTTATCCCATCTAGATTAATTCCTAGGCGATGTATTTTTATATTCTGCGATTTTACTGTCTTTTTTTTTCCCTACCTCAGTTATTTTATTTAAATTTGTGTTTTCGTTGAACCTGTTCTATAAGCTTTGTTTTTTATAACCCGTTCTTTGATTTTTTATTTGTTATTCTGCCTGCGCTCTGAGGTTTTTTCTTGTTGTTTTATTCTCCTTGTTATGTGATTGTTAAGTCTCGTTCTTATCGTCTTCTGTGTTCTTGTTAATCCTTTGTTTTATCATATTATTTTGCTATATATTTGCAATAAGATCGCAAGAAAAAGGTGATGCCTTAATATGCAAAATAACTACAGTCAAAAATATTGAAATTGCAAGCTAGTTCGTGATTACTCACATTATGAAGGAACTGTGACTGTAGTGGTAGGTTGGTAGATAACAACCTCCCAGGCAGGTACTACCGTCCTACCACTGTGACTGTAGTGGTAGGTTGGTAGATAACAACCTCCCAGGCAGGTACTACTGTCCTGCCACTGTGACTGTAGTAGTAGGTTGGTAGATAACAACCTCCCAGGCAGGTACTACTGTCCTGCCACTGTGACTGTAGTAGTAGGTTGGTAGATAACAACCTCCCAGGCAGGTACTACTGTCCTACCACTGTGACTGTAGTGGTAGGTTGGTAGATAACAACCTCCCAGGCAGGTACTACTGTCCTGCCACTGTGACTGTAGTAGTAGGTTGGTAGATAACAACCTCCCAGGCAGGTAATACCGTTTCCCACCACTGTGACTGTAGTGGTAGGTTGGTAGATAACAACCTCCCAGGCAGGTACTTTCCGTCCTGCCACTGTGACTGTAGTGGTAGGTTGGTAGATAACAACCTCCCAGGCAGGTACTACCGTCCTACCACTGTGACTGTAGTGGTAGGTTGGTAGATAACAACCTCCCAGGCAGGTACTACCGTCCTAAACCCCTGTGACTGTAGTGGTAGGGTTTGGGAGATAACAACCTCCAGGCAGGTACTACCGTCCTGCCACTGTGACTGTAGTGGTAGGTTGGTAGAATAACAACCCCCCAGGGGAGGTACTTTCCGTCCTACCACTGTGACTGTAGTGGTAGGTTGGTAGATAACAACCTCCCAGGCAGGTACTACCGTCCTGCCACTGTGGACTGTAGTGGTAGGTTGGAAGATAACAACCTCCAGGCAGGTACTACCGTCCTGCCACTTTAACTGTAGTGGTAGGTTGGTAAATAACAACCTCCCAGGCAGGTACTACCGTCCTGCCCCCTGTGACTGTAGTGGTAGGTTGGTAGATAACAACCTCCCAGGCAGGTACTACCCTCCTACCACTGTGACTGTAGTGGTAGGTTGGTAGATAACAAACCTCCCAGGCACGTTTCTACCGTCCTGCCCCTGTGACTGTAGTGGTAGGGTTGGTAGATAACAACCTCCCAGGCAGGTACTACCGTCCTGTCACTGTGACTGTAGTGGGAGGTTGGAAGATAACAACCTCCCAGGCCCGGTACTACCGTCCAAACCCCTGTGACTGTAGTGGTAGATTGGTAAATAACAACCTCCCAGGCAGGTACTACCGTCCTGCCACTGTGACTGTAGTGGTAGGTTGGTAGATAACAACCTCACAGGCAGGTACTACCGTCCTACCACTGTGACGTAGTGGTAGGGTTTGGGAGATAACAACCTCCCAGGCAGGTACTACCGTCCTGCCACTGTGACTGTAGTGGTAGGTTGGTAGATAACAACCTCCCAGGCAGGTACTACCGTCCTACCACTGTGACTGTAGTGGTAGGTTGGTAGATAACAACCTCCCAGGCAGGTACTACCGTCCTACCACTGTGACTGTAGTGGTAGGTTGGTAAATAACAACCTCCCAGGCAGGTACTACCGTCCTGCCACTGTGACTGTAGTGGTAGGTTGGTAGATAACAACCTCCCCGGCAGGTACTACCGTCCACCACTGTGACTGTATAGTAGGTTGGTAGATAACAACCTCCCAGGCAGGTACTACCGTCCTGCCACTGTGACTGTAGTGGTAGGTTGGTAGATAACAACCTCCCAGGCAGGTACTACCGTCCTGCCACTGTGACTGTAGTGGTAGGTTGGTAGATAACAACCTCCCAGGCAGGTACTACCGTCCTACCACTGTGACTGTAGTGGTAGGTTGGTAGATAACAACCCCCCCAGGCAGGTACAACAGTCCTGCCACTGTGACTGTAGTGTAGGTTGGTAGATAACAACCTCCCAGGCAGGTACTACCGTCCTAAACCCCTGTGACTGTAGTGGTAGGTTGGAAGATAACCTCCCAGGCGTACTTACCGTCCTACCACTGTGACTGTAGTGGTAGGTTGGTAGATAACAACCTCCCCGGCAGGGACTACCGTCCTACCACTGTGACTGTAGTGGTAGGTTGGAAGATAAAAAACCTCCCAGGCAGGTACTTACCGTCCTGCCACTGTGACTGTAGTGGTAGGTTGGTAGATAACAACCTCCCAGGCAGGTACTAAACCCTCCTACCACTGTGACTGGGAGTGGGAGGTTGGTAAATAACAACCTCCCGGCAGGTACTACCGTCCTACCACTGTGACTGTAGTTTTTAGGTTGGTAGATAACAACCTCCCAGGGAGGTACTACCGTCCTACCATGTGACTGTAGTGGTAGGTTGGGAAAATTTAAAAACCCCCCAGGCAGGTACTACCGTCCTACCACTGTGACTGTAGTGGTAGGTTGGTAGATAACAACCTCCCCGGCAGGTACTACCATCCTACCACTGTGACGTAGTGGTAGGTTGGTAGATAACAACCTCCCAGGCAGGTACACCGTCCTGCCACTGTGACTGTAGTGGTAGGTTGGTAGATAACAACCTCCCAGGCAAGTTTCTACCGTCCTACCACTGTGAAATGTAGTGGTAGGTTGGGTTTATAAAAAACCTCCCAGGCGGTACTACCGTCCTACCACTGTGACTGTAGTGGGAGGTTGGTAGATAACAACCTCCCAGGCAGGTTACTACCGTCCTACCACTGTGACGTAAATGGTAGGTTGGTAGATAACAACCTCCCAGGCAGGTACTACCGTCCTACCACTGTGACTGTAGTGGTAGGTTGGTAGATAACAACCTCCCAGGCAGGTACTACCGTCCTGCCACTGTGACTGTAGTGGTAGGTTGGTAGATAACAACCCCCAGGCAGTACTCACCGTCCTACCACTGTGACTGTAGTGGTAGGTGGTAGATAAAAAACCCCCCCAGGCAGGTACTTACCGTCCTGCCACTGTGACTGTAGTGGTAGGTTGGAAGATAACAACCTCCCAGGCAGGTACTACCGTCCTGCCACTGTGACTGTAGTGGTAGGTTGGTAAATAACAACCTCCCAGGCAGGTACTACCGTCCTGCCAACTGTGACTGTAGTGGTAGGTTGGTAGATAACAACCTCCCAGGCAGGTACTACCGTCCTACCACTGGTGACTGTAGTGGTGGGGTTTGGGAGATAACAACCTCCCAGGCACGTACTACCGTCCTGCCACTGTGACTGTAGTGGTGGTTGGTAGATAACAAACCCCCCAGGCAGGTAAAATACCGTCCTGTCACTGTGACTGTAGTGGTAGGTTGGAAGATAACAAAACCCCCCAGGCAGGTACTACCGTCCTACCACTGTGACTGTAGTGGTAGATTGGTAAATAACAACCTCCCAGGCAGGTACTACCGTCCTGCCACTGTGACTGTAGTGGTAGGTTGGTAGATAACAACCTCACAGGCAGGTACTACCGTCCTACCACTGTGACTGTAGTGGTATTGGTAGAAAAACAACCTCCCAGGCAGGTACAACCGTCCTGCCACTGTGACTGTTTGTGGTAGGTTGGTAGATAACAACCTCCCAGGCGGTACTACGTCCCACCACTGTGACTGTAGTGGTAGGTTGGTAGATAACAACCTCCCAGACAGGTACTACCGTCCTACCACTGTGACTGTAGTGGTAGGTTGGTAAATTTAAAAACCTCCCAGGCAGGTACTACCGTCCTGCCACTGTGACTGTATGGGAGGTTTGGTAGATAACAAACCCCCCAGGCAGGTACTACCGTCCCCACCACTGTGACTGTAGTGGTAGGTTGGTAGATAACAACCTCCCAGGCAGGGATAAACCCTCCTACCACTGTGACTGTAGTAGTAGGTTGGTAGATAACAACCTCCCAGGCAGGTACTACCGCCCTGCCACTGTGACTGTAGTGGTAGTTGGTAGATAACAAACCTCCCAGGCAGGTACTACCGTCCTGCCACTGTGACTGTAGTGGTAGGTTGGTAGATAACAACCCTCCCAGGCAGGTACTACCGTCCTCCACCACTGTGACTGTAGTGGTAGGGTTTGGGAGATAACACACCTCCCAGGCAGGGACTACAGTCCTGCCACTGTGACTGTAGTGGTGGTTGGTAGATAACAACCTCCCAGGCAGGTACTACCGTCCTACCACTGTGACTGTAGTGGTAGGTTGGAAGATAACAACCTCCCAGGCAGGTACTACCGTCCTACCACTGTGACTGTAGTGGTAGGTTGGTAGATAACAACCTCCCAGGCAGGTACTACCGTCCTACCACTGTGACTGTAGTGGTAGGTTGGAAGATAACAACCTCCCAGGCAGGTACTACCGTCCTGCCACTGTGACTGT